TATATATATATATATATATATATATATATATATATATATATATGGCTGACAAGGCACGGTCCAAATCATCCAACCTGAATGGTCGAACCAGTGACCCACAATCTGGGGGCAAAAAATGGTTCAGCCTTGGTTCAATTTTTAAAACTGTTTTGCACAGTGGGGCCAATCATAACACCCCATGCCAGCCATGGGTGTTAACGATTGGCCCACAGCCTCAAACAAAGCCATCAAGTTCGGCCCATTCTCACTTCTCATTGACTAGTTCACGTCTTCTTGGAAAGCTGTTCATCAAACCCAATTAAAGCTGAATGTAGATGGAAGTTTTTTGTGTCCGAGAAAGTCAAGGCTTGGTGTAGTTTTAAGAAATTCGCAAGGGGTAGCAATTGCAGCCTCTTTTGGGAAGACCACAGGATCTTCACCCATACAATCTAAAGCTCTAGCTGTTTTGAATGGGCTAAAGCTGTTGGAAGGAAAGGAACAGGTGTTGGCTGTTGTGGAATTGGATTGCCTTGTGCTTATTAAAGCAATCACTGGGATCTTTTGGTTTGGCAAAGGATAGCATGTTTTTTTGTAGGGATATTGTGGAAGTTGCCAAAGGTTTTTCTATTAATTTTAACTTTGTTAAAAGACTGTCATAGTGTGGCCCATGAGCTGGCCAAGAAGGGTCTAAAAGAGTCGAGGTTCTATCCTGTTGGTTGCCCAAGATGGCTTCAAGATCTGGCAAACCGAGACTTTAAAGGGTGTTCAATAGTGTGAAAATAGCATAGGTGAGACCATTTTGGTCCTGTGTGATAGAATGTGGTGTTCTACTTTGTGTGGATGGTCCCCATCCACAAAATAGCTTGGACAGGGACAGGCCACACCCCAATTTATCATCCATAGTATTTTCTCATGGATGGACCACACTATGGTGCAGATAGTTTGTGGGAAGGATTCAGTGTAACACAGGTGCATTAACACTAGCCCAACTACCCTCATTTTATTTAATCTTTTAATATATTTTAATTTATATTGAAATTATTTTTTAAATTTTTATTGTTGAAGATAATATTATAGTGATAAATATATTTATTTTTATATTTATTAGTAATTACGTATTAGTGTTTTATTTTCTCTCTTATTTTATATTATTATTTCAAATTATTTTTTGCTAAAATTATGGTTTTTTTATCATTCGTGATCATTGGGTGCAAATGGATCAAATCATCCAATCCAAATCCGATCCTATTTTTGTAGGATTTAGATAACCCTTTCTCGAATTTTTGGATTGGATCCAATTGGAATTTATATCACCCCTATCCGACCCAACCTATATATGTATATATTTATAAACATATTTACATATAAGAATACATGTATATATTAATATATTTAATTATGAATATTGTTTATATTGCATTTTTTTTTTGTAAATTTTTTATAAAAATACATGTATATAGTAATATATATGATGAAAATAGTTGAAAATTACTTATATTTTTTATTTTTCTTTATATAACATCCTTAACAGATTCAAATTTGTATCACCATTTGTGAGATCCAATTGGATCTTGTATTCTGCTATCGGATTAGATTAGGATATACCTTGATTTGAATCCAATCCGATCTGTTTGCATCCCTACATGATCGATTGTGTAAATTATCTCACAAGTTGTACATGAGATGTATGAAATCAATATGTGTGGTGTGAACAAATCCACATTACACTTGTAGAACTCCCCTATGGGTATAGACAGTTTCTATCCACATAATTTTGTCCATAGTTCAAAACAGGTATAAACAGCAGTGTGGTGTAGACTAGTCCCCGACTGTGGATTAATACATACCCACCAATTTCTCATTCACCACACCCCCTTAGTTAGACCTCTCATTGCTAGTTGTATATGCTTTTCTCTGTAATATATTGCTTTATTTTACCAAAAAAAAACACAACCAGCGGGTCAGTTTTTGAGCCCTAGGGTTGAGGATTCAGAAGTGGATTGACTATATAATTCTGACTGAGCCAATCACGAAACACCAAATCAGATCAGTACAAATAATATCCACGTATGAGGCTGTCGTGGCATATAACAATTGGCCCAGATGCTCCTGCTCCCCAAGCAAGTTCGAACACTGTCTAGGGAATGCAAGGGATTAAAGAAAAACAAAGAAAAAAAAAAGAAAAAGAAAGATCCATGATCTACAATTAATGATCCAACAACCACAAGAGACTTAAAAATATTTTCTCGAGTGGACTAGTCGAACTTCTAGGAAATAGCTTAGTTCCTGTGATTGATGGTCAAGCTTGTCTGATCCATTGAAGGGCGTTTGAATATTATAACCCAGACCAAATGTTGAATAATCCTGCTTCGAAGCTGCTAAATTAAGAAAATTAAGCACAAATCCACTTGTGAAATTGGTCCATTTGACTGTTTGTAGGCAAGTTCATCAGATGGTGATATGGTTTCCTGTAATTGATAAATTGGTTAACCAACTTGAAATGAATGCACAAAGGAATTAATTAATCCAAGCTAAGCCCTACTGATCCCCGTGCTCGTGCTTGATCTAGACGTGCTGCCTGTTGAGCTACTGTACAACAAAGAAGAACGAAAGGACTCGTGGCTGAGAGGCAATGGCCTGTCTGGTAATCTGGGTATGTCAATATCACCTTCCAACATTCTGAGGGCGTCAGCGATGGTTGGCCTGAAAGCAACCATTACGTGGGCACAGAGAATTCCAACAAGGACAAACCTCTCCATGATCCCTCTCGGTCCTTGCCCCCTTATCGAGGCGTCCAACACCTCTTCCATCTGTCCTGATTTGACGAGCGTCCACGCCCAATCTGTGATCAGAAGCGCCGACGCAGACGACGTATCAAGCGCCCTCCTCCCGCTCATCACCTCCAGAATTACGACGCCGAAGCTGTAAACGTCGCTCTTCTCTGTGAGCTGCCCGTAGAGCGCATACTCAGGTGCTAGGTAGCCATGTGTGCCGGCGACTCGGGTGGTGATATGAGACTGRCCTTCCCTGCTTTGCTTGGCCAGCCCAAAGTCTGCCACCCTCGCCTTCATCTCTGAATCCAAGAAAATGTTGGTAGCTTTGACGTCTCTGTGGAAGATCGCAGGCTTAATTCCATAATGCAAGTAAGCTAGCCCCCTGGCCACGTCTAAGATTATGTTCTTGCGCTGAGGCCAGCTCAAATGTTTCTTGCTACCGTTATCAGATTCAGTCGCAGAAAAGAGGTGATCAGCAAGGCTGCCATTGGGCATGTAGTCATAAACAAGATATCTCTGCTTACCCTCCAGATCATTGCTTGCTGCACAGCAGCCTCGGAGAGGGAGGAGATTCCTGTGTCTTATTTTGCTTATGATCACAACCTCGTTCAGGAACTCATCATCTTCTCTGGAGTCCAAATCAAGCAGCTTCTTCACAGCTATGGAAGTCCCATCAGCAAGCGTCCCTTTGTACACAATCCCGTACCCACCTTGGCCGATGAAATTCCTCTGCGCAAACCCATCTGTGGCACGTCGAAGCTCCTCCGCCTGGAACCAGATAGCACCCATGTTGGGTGTCACCTTGGCCTTGACACTGCTGACAAATTCTACATGCGCCGCCCGGCGTTTCATTCGATTAGCGCAGAGCCGGTACAGCACGACCACAACCAATACCAGAATGATACCGACGATGGCACCCACCAACCCAAAGACCCATTTGAATAACGTCCCTCGGCTTAACCTCCTCGATGTGTTGATCGCGGCCGAGCCAACCAGCGGCAGGCCGAGAATGCACGCAGCAGTCTTAGTGTCCTGCGAGCCAAATTCACTAACAATGCCAGCAGCGTATAGAACCGTGAAGTAAAAGCATTTGCCGGAGTTCTTCTCATCCAAAGCAACCAGTTGCGAAGTAACTTTCATTCCTGCAGCCAGGCACGAACTGCACGAGGTGAGGCCGGACACATCTCCTTTACAAGAGACATCCAAGGGAGAAGTTGCACCAACTTTTCTTATCCAGTCTTCAGTCGTTACAATCCCAACACAGCTCGAAGAGCTGATAACAAATTGGTCGGAGTTGTTGAAGCAGAAGTGTACGAGGGTCTCCGGCAAGGACAGAGCGACAAGCCTGGTTTGGAGATCAGATAGRCACGCAGAGGAGGAAGCTCTGTTGGGTAGTTGGAACGTGGAGGTGTCCTTGAGGTGCTGCGCCAGTCCCATGCCGAAGAGACTGAGCAGGGTCTGGCAGCAATGCTGTTCATTGTCATGGCACAACGATCTGTCCCACGGGAAGCTCTGCACGTAGCTGAAATCGATTGGACACAAAGAAGACGCAGCATCAACAGATTCAGCAGAGGAAGATATGAACAGGGAGAGGAAGAACAGGAGGTGATGGTGAGAAAATGCAGAGCTTTTGCTTGTCATCTCTTCCTCTGTTTCTTATCCAAATCGGTGTTAGAGTACAAATTGGTGTGGTTTTATAACTCGTGAAGCCGAAAGTGTTGCCACTTGCCTTAACATCAACGTTGGCTGGCGGAAGTCAAAATGCACGCTTTCGGTTACGGGTCCAAAATTAAAAGCATCCCTGACCCTATCAGAATGCACCAAGTCAGCATGAGAGTGGGGCCCATGTGCATGGATTTGACTTGGCGTGTCATGATTGGCCTAGCTTAGAGGTATAGTTAAGTAAGAAGGATGCCTCAGCTTCATATGCAAATATGCAGTAGGCGGTCAAAGTCAAACAAAACTTCTCTCATATGGTATTGAATCTGGACCGTTTATCGTTATTCTTCCTTTTGCTAAATAGAAAAAAGAGAAAAGTTACATAAAGAGCAAAGAGGAAAGTATTGGGGTGTAGTAGTCGTGTGGGTTCCCCATTACTTGCCACTCTGTCATGGGGCTAATCTGCGAGTCCCCGTGCAGCACTTGAGTGGGTCGAGTAAGCCTAAGAAAGTAAGCAAGCACACACCAAAGGCAACAAAAATGGCACATGAATTAGTAAAAAGACATTTTATATTGCAATAGATGGCAAGCACAAGCACACAAATCTGTTTCGAGGGGACCTCATGCTTAACCTTTACACGGTCTTGGCACCTCTCAACTATTCACCTCCCCTCAAAGAGTAACTTAAGCTTTTGGATCTCTAACAAAAACTTACATGGAAATACTGGAAAATCATACTACATAATTACAATAATGCCATTGGCAATCCCCCTTACAAAATACACATGTAGGCCCACCCCAGACGCACTAGACGACACTTTGATGGCATGTCGTGGGCATGGCAAAGGCACTTGATGTCACGAAAAAGTGGTCACTTGTGACAATCTCCCCCACTCAATTCAAGCTTCGTCCTCGAAGACTATCTCTAGTATGCTACTTGAGTCTGCTGCTGGTGAAGGAGGGTTCTTCAGATGATCCACGAACTTCTTCACTTCTATGGCCAGGTCCTAAGTTGAGTCCTTGGCTAGCGGCTTGAAGGTAAGTGAAGTGTGGCTTAGTTTGGTTTGCACTACTAGCTAAGGTGGGGATTGGAACAAAAGATGAATCTAAGTCAAAAGGATGTTGGATATTGAGGAGTGTTCCCTAAGGTTCTCTCCTCACAAGTCTACTATGTGGGTGTAATGGAGGCCGAAAGTTGGGATGGTTCCTAGAGCATGTGGGTGGCACTCTCATCCCAGGATGGTAGGTATGGATGATGTCGAAGTTGGCCTTGGGTCTTCTCTTTGGCCCGTTGCTGAAGGGCGATGGCGTCTTATGTTGTGGACGCGGCTTCTGTTGACGCTGAGGTGGCAGTGGCACTGTCTTCTTGCTAGAGATGTCACGATCAGTTCTTGTTGTATTGACTGCAGTTGCTACTGATGTGCTCCTTAGAGACTCTAGATATGCAGATGGAAGTTGGAGTTGCAAGGCCGAAACTTGCTTCTTCTTTGTATCAATAGAAGTAATCATGTCGACCATGCAAGGTGACCGCTCGTCCATGATCAACAAGGTGTCGAGGTGAGGTGCTGGTGCGGCTTTAGCSTGTGTCAAGAAGTCCATGCCAAGGACGACAACAAAGTCGTCCAATTGTGCAACAGAGAGGTCAATCTCCTGATTCTAGGTGCCAACTCAGAGTCCTACTCAACGAGCCATACCTTTGATGGGTTTTGCACCTATATTAACAGCTTTGAGCCAGCCTGACTCTCTTGAAATGGCCAAATTGAGTCTCTTGGCCTCAGCAATGGATATAAAATTGTGAATGGCCCCTGTGTCAACTAGGGCCCGGGTTGGCTTCCCGCCAAGGTATATGTCAACGAACCTCACTCCTCTCTTGACTGAAGTGGGCTGTTTGGAGGTAGCCCCTTTCTTCACCATGGCATTGAAAAGTTGTAGGGCGCCCACTCTTGGTGCTTGTGTACTCCGCTCCCCGTCGCTTCGTTCATCATCACTCAACTTGGCAATGAGGGCATTTAGTTTCTCCCACTTTGGGCAGTGCTTAGTCATGTGCTCCTCACCACAAATATAGCAAGTGGGAGGACATGTGGGTCTCCCTTGGTATCTGTTGTTGTAGGAGTTTTGGCTTCCCTGTGGCTGCTTCCCTTTGTGGTACTCGACTACTCGACTAGCTTGCRGTGGAATGGCTGCTTCTCCTTCGGGGGACTTGGTGGTCTATCTCCCCCACTCAAGTTGGTGGCATGCAGGCTGGCTGGCTTACTTCATCATTCGACAGTCTTAGTTCATTAAGTTGTTCGACCATAGCCATGGCAGAGGCAAGGTCCTAGACATTGCATCGTTGGAGCTCGAGCTCGGCCCAAGGCTTTAGGCCATCCATGAAGTTAAACAAAAGTCTTTGTCCAACATGTCGGTGACTTCCAAGGTAAGAGCTGAAAATTCTTTGACATATTCATGGAGTGAGTCGCCCTGCTTGAGTGTCTTCATCTTGCGACGGGCGAGATACTCCACATTCTCTGGATAGAAATGCCTCTTCAGCTCCCGCTTGAAGTCAGCCCAGGTTTGGATGGTGCACGTCCCATGTTCTATATCAACACATCTTCTGTGCCACCACAACATAGCGACGTTAGTCAAATACATTGTAGTTGTACGTACCTTAGCTGGTTCATCAATCACACTGGTTGCAGCAAGGTACTGGTCCATTTGCCATAGGAAGTTGTCAAGCTCCCGGGCATCACGTACACCTGTACAGGGAGGTGGCTCCCTAATCTTTATGTGGGAAGGAGTGTGCACAAAGGAGGTGCTGGCTGGATTGGCAATGGCCTTCTCCAAGATTGCACACTCAGCCTTGAGTTCATCTAGTTGAGCTTGGGAGTCGGAGGAACAAGCGACTGCCTTCATGGCTGCCCATTCTGCTTTCATTTCATTCAATTGGGCTTGGATGGCCATTGGGGAAGACATGGCTCTCCTTTACGCTGCCCACTCGTTTCTCATTTCGTCAAGTTGGGCCTAAAAGCTATCTAGCTTGCCTTGAATGTTGGAGTGGGATGAGCTTCCTTCTTGTTGGCGTGCAGTGCTGCAAACTTCCTTGAGTGTCCCATTAAGCATGTCGTGGACCTCATCAACAATACCATTCATGCGGCCTTCCACCTCTACCACYGCACTCTCAATGGCTTCAATATTTTGGTGGAGCTCATCTACTTGGTCACGCATCTCACCCACAGTGGCTTCACAACGTAGCACTAGTAGGTCGGTGGCGGAATGCTTGTCATGGATTTCTCATGCTTGCTTGCCTTTGATGTGCGGGTCTTCGGTGCTTTGTCCTTGATTGTGTCATCGGCGGGTGCACCATCCACCTCATGGGATAGGGAGAGTCCATGATCGATCTCCTCCATGATGTCCTTGTTATGCTTCATGATGTGCTCGCGTTACGGGTCAATGGGCTAGGAAAGAGCTTCGGCTCTGATACCAACTGTCATGGGGCTAATCGGCGAGGCCCCGTTTAGCACTCGAATGGGTCGAGTAAGCCTAAGAAAGCAATCAAACACACACAAAAGGCAACAAAGATGGCACATGAATTAGTAAAAAGGCACTTTATATTATAGTAGATGGCAAGCACAAGCACACAAGTCTGTGTCGAGGGGACCTCATGCTTAACCTTTACACGGCCTTGGCACCTCTCAACTACTCACCTCCCCTCAAAGAGTAGCTTAAGCTTTTGGTGCTCTGACAAAAGATCATATGGAAATACTGGAAAATCATACTACATAATTACAATAATGCCATTGGCAATCCCCCTTACAAAATACACATGTAGGCCCACCCCAGACACACTAGACGACACTCTGATGGCATGTCGTGGGCATGGCAAAGGCACTTGATGTCGCGAAAAAGTGGTCACTTGTGACAACCTGGCTCATGTTTGAAGAGATGGGATCCATCTTTGAATGAATGAATCCAAATGTCAAAAATCAGACGATTATTGTATTCTCTTAATGCTCATTTTGGGTGGATGATCCAGGCCTTTACTATGTTTAGTTTGATATAAAAATGCAAAATTCTTTCAAGAACTTTCTCTCAATTTTCTGTTAAAGATAAATTATAAAGATCCCTTCCACTATGGGTTAATGACAATTATCGCCCTGAATTTTCATTTGTGACAAGGACCCCTAAATGACAAATACCCTTTTTTTAGAGTTTTGTTAATTAACTTCACAAAAGAAACTCATTCAGCCTATTAAAAATTTTCAAATCCCCAAATTGCCATTAATTTTTTATTTGAACATTGATTAGTTTTCTAAATGTAATAGTGAAGTCCCATCGGTTATATCCTTAAAGATTTAAGGCTGGATTMAATATTCAAATGAAGTGGTAGAGATTTCTTTTTGATAGATATTAATTTAGGGTTTTATTTGTTTTCTTGATATATCRGAGAAAGGAGTGGATAATTTTTATATTTTAAGATGAAGAGAGGCATCGATGTCAATGAAATGAAACAATAAAATGGTGAGGAAATGGAGGTATTTTTGGGATCAAGGGTTTAAGAGAAAAGGGTGAGAAAAAGAAAATAAAGAAAGTTCAGATAGGTATTTTGATAATTTAATCCATTCTGTCATCTAACTTAATGACGTGCAGGTATTTGTTGCAAAGTGAAAGTTTAGAGGGATCTTTGTTGCAAATGAAAGTTCAAGGGGGTAATTGTCACTAACCCATAGTACAAGGGGATCTTTGATATTTACCCAAAAAACATATATAGTTCAATCATCAGTTCTATGGAGAAGATCTTATGAAAAAACCTCCAATGAAAAGTTGAACCTGTGCTTTTGTTAAGTGCAAAGCACAAATTCACTCAAATCAATCATTTAAGTTCCACTACAGAAAGACATGATACCAGAAAAATTTATAATCAATCAACCAACTTCATAAAAGTGGTAATCAATCATTGTGCGTTCATCAAAATTCACCTAGGGGTTTGATTGGTCAAAGCCTTTC